GTCAATCATGTAAAAATAGTTGACTTTTAAGCCTTCGCTGTTGCCCTTGTCTGAGGAGATTTTCCCTAGGCCTATATTTTAGCCTACAGCAGCCAAAGTAGCTTTGTCAGGTCTTCACATGACGTCATCTTCCTCCCAAATTCCAACATCAATAACAGCATAAAGTTTAAACTGAAAAACTGTGATAAGCAAGTCCTCTTGGCTATTGTTGAATCTTTAAGTTATTTCTCAAATCCTATATTTCTCAAGATAACTGATCTGTTAGTTCAGTCATGTATTTCCTGAGCATATTATTGTGATGTTTAGGAAAAAAGGATACACTTCCCATAACTACACTTAATAATATATGCTATTGGAATAAAAAGAAAGACAGCTACCTTTTAATTGGTTTTTATTTTAAAGTATAAAATAGTAATTCTCTCTAGCTTGAAAGGATTTGAAATATTCTTTGGAATGGTTGAACACCTAGTATTTGGGGTCATAAGGCAAATTTGTGAATTATGTCGCATGCCTAGCCTCATTTTTGTTATATACAGCTATACCCCAATTCATTTACTCATTCACAATTTTTGTGCCTCAAAACATATACTGAGGACTACTTTATGTCAGGCACTCTGGCAGTGAGTGTTTAAACATGAGCAACACATCCTTCCTGTGGTCAGTATTTTTAAACTTAGGTTGAGGAATCAAACAATCGAAAGCATGTTATGAAATTTTGTGTGTTGGAAAGACAGGCAGGCCGTGGAGGCAGGTGAGACCCCTAAGGGTTAGCTGGGAAGAGGAGCATCCTGGGGGCCTTTCTGTAAGAAATGCCTGAGGAGCTCTGTCATCTTGTCTACTACAGTGTACTCCCAAGTAGTCATCAACTATCAAGAAAATATATTCATTTTCTTGAGAATATTTAGTTTGTAAGTATTTTCTCCTGAGTGCATTGAAAGGCTCCGCTTTTTGCAAAAGTAGAGGTTCTTTACTTTATGTGACCCCTTTTGGCAATCTACTATGAACCTCTTCTCTGGAAAACATGTGGTGACTGTGTTTACAAACTCATACATATTTTTTGCATACAGGTTTTAGAAAATCACAGGCTTGAAATGTCCTTAAAGCTGGTCCCTGGACCCCAGCTTCAGAATTGCAGGACTATAGATCACTGGGGAATTGGGATGTGGGTGGAAGAGACATCATTTAAAGTTAGAGTGTAGGGAATCACAACCTTGGATGGTTTATTTTCACCATATATTCTTTTATAAAATGTGCAATAAAAGCACCCTTTTTTTTTTTTTTTTGTTCTCTTATTAAAAAAAAATTTGTAGTACAATGAATGCAAATAGCCTTTGGGGAAAAACAAAATCTGTGGTTTTCCAAGTAGTTTCAAAATTGTTATTTTTGACATTTTATTTTGGCCTATTGGTTAACTACATCCCTATTTTTTGACTGGATCTGAGCAGAATTCCAAACAGATAGTAAATATTCTAATTGTACTGAACATTTCCCTAGTATAGTAATTTATAACCAGTTTCCTATATTGCTTCTGTATCTGATATCACTAAACTCAAATCACTGTATTAAATGGGGCTAATGACTGACAATATATAGTTTTTTTAATTAATTAATTTGTTTGTTTATTTTTGGCTGTGTTGGGTCTTCGTTGCTGCGCGCGGGCTTTCTCTAGTTGCGGCAGGTTGGTGGTGCGAGGGCTTCTCATTGTCGTGGCTTCTCTTGTGGAGCACGGGCTCTAGGCACGCGAGCTTCAGTAGTTGTGGCATGCGGGCTCAGTAGTTGTGGCTTACGGGCTCTAGAGCTCAGGATCAGTAACTGTGGCACACGGGCTTAGTTGCTCCACAGCATGTGGGATCTTCCTGGGCCAGGAATTGAACCCATGTCCCCTGCATTGGCAGGTGGATTTTTAACACTGTACCACCAGGGAAGCCTGATAATTTATAGTTTTAAAAGTATTTCTCTTTAATTTTTGTTTTTTGATGAAAATAAATAGAAAATACCATATAGAAAGAAAAACAAAAAGCTCCAAAGTAGACTTGAGACTTACAAATATCTTGGAGCCTATATAAAAAATATATGTTGGATTACAATGCAAATTCTAAATCCATATTAATATAAATTGTCATCGTCCAGCTTGCTATGCCAATGCATAAGTAAATATTTAACATGTAGAAATAAGTCACTTAGACTAAAGTAGAAGGTGAATTAAGGAAACCTTCAAATGTGTGCAAAAAAAAAAGAAATTTTGCATTTTATACAATGTGATAGGTTGAAAATTCTAAGATGTCAATTTTTTGTGGCTGTAGACAATATCAAGATTTAATGGTGTATATGGCCTACAGTATATCAAGTCTACACACATAAGAATTGGCTCAGTCACTCACTATTGCTCCTGAAGCAATTCATGGCATATTCAGAACTGCAAAGCTACTGAGGCTATTAGCTCAGAAAAAAAAACAATAAATAAAAAATAGGCTATGTACTCCAGAGCAGTTTTGTCTCCTTCAAGAATCATCTGGTCTTATGCCGTTCTTATCCCAGAAATATTTTTTTTCTTCTGTGAAGTGTTATATCAACTTGGACTGCTGATCTTCGTTTGATATAATCCATCAACACATGAATCCTATTGTATGTGAAAAGTCACTACAAGAAAATAAAAATCTAAAACACATTTGAGTTTTATTTTACTACTACCTTTATTATATAAATGTAGTACAGATGAAATACACTTTATTTGATTGAATGCTTAAGCTTTCAAGTCAACCAGCTGATTCAGAGAGGAGTAAAATTTATTGTTGGAGAAAAAAAATGATTCTAATAAAGATAATGACAATGATAATTATTTGTAGTAATGAGAGCTTCTTAAAAATGTAGATCTGAGACCTCTCCCCAGACCTACTAAATCAGAGCCTGCATTTTTACCAGATTTGCTGTGATTCCTGGAAAAATAAAAGAGAAGCACTTTTTTAGTGTCCTTAACTGTCCCCCAGCACTAGGGAAGGAAGAGGCAGACTGAGAGTCACTGCCAGTCAGTGCCAGTCACAACTATGTGCATAGTAAATACACGATAGGAGATTTAAATAACTAGCAAACTTGTATCTACCTTAGAATAGTGAAAAATCTTGAAAAAAATGTGCAAAATTTATTTATGAAAATGAACCAGCCTTTATATAATTGAAAAATATTTTATTTAGGTAGGCCATCTATTTGTTAGGATGTCTGGCTTTAGGGATGGTGGAGACTTAGCAGTTCCTGCTGCATGTGTATGAAGCTGATTAGAATCTGGATTCAATTTCAGGCATCAAGACCAACTTCTTAGTCAGCACTATTAACTCTTCTACAGACTTCTTCGTCTCTGATATCAAAAGATTGTAAGCATCACTTTACTTCTACAGACTGCCGTTCCATTGACAGTAGGGCAGAAGAGAGAGGTTGATGAGCGAATTCTAATTCTAATGAAGATTTTTTCATATGTTGAACTGATAACGCGTCTTGAACTAGTTTCTATTTTCTTCCTTTCTAGATTTACACATAAATAAACCCTTTCTTATCTCATGTCAGTTTTGTATAAGCGAACTAAACTAAGTATACAATTTTATATGATAAACCTTTGATCAAAGCCTAAAGCATTGTATAGCTTTCAGGATTGAAATTTATGACTTTAATTTTATTAATTAGTTTTTATAGCTAAAATTCATACATATTAAGGTTTGAATTTAGTAAAAGTGATTTGAAAAGGATGGATTTTGTCATTTTCTAAATATTTTTCACTTTTTAAAATTGAAATATGGTTGATTTACAATGTGCTAGTTTCAGGTGTACAGCATGGTGATACAGTTATATATATATATATATATATATATATATATATACACTTTTTCAGATTCTTTTCCCTTATAGGTGATTACAATATATTGAGTAGGATTCTCTCTAAATTTTTTAATGTAAATTCCTCCTCTCCTTTTTGGTTTTGCAGAAGAAAAATCTGAAGAAAAAATTTAAAAAGCAAATTTGTAAACCTGTATCAAGAAACAAATATCCCAGAATTTCCATGGCATTTGTCAATGTTTTACTATTTCATGATTAATTTATTCTCTCTCTTAAATTTGCTACATTTCCTAAAGTTATTATATTTTGACATCTGATAGTACAAAGGGATACTTTTGGACTCAAATAAACAAGGAGGCCATTTTTTGTTATGCAAATGTATATTTCTGACCTTAAAAGAGAATTCACTTACTGGTTTAAATACATTCACAATGGTTTATAGAGCTTTGCTTTATTAAGTAGCATAAACTGCTGGGCATAAAAGATAGAGTGTTTCCAGGATCAGGGTAATGATTTTGATGCTCCTAAAAATATGGACAATGTCTTATTTGTCATTAATGATGAAAGGTCAGCACCTGGTCATTGCCTAAATAAAAGTTGACTTAATTTATACATTTTATAGAGACTCAGAGGCAATGCCATCTTTAGAGAAAGTGCATTATAACTGTATAAAAATGTGATGAATAAGTTGCTATAACAGTGCAATATTCTTTTGTCTCAATTGAACTTCACTTTATGAAGCTATCATAGCACACGGTTTAGTTGCTACTACCTCTTCTTCTACCTGTCAGTGAAGACCTGATGATCTCAGACATCCACTGTAAATATAGGCACTCTTATCAGATTTTCACTTATTTGCAAATTAGCCATGATTGCTGAATTTTCTTCTCTTAGAACCCCCCCACCCCATAAATCTGAGGCCATTTCATTCAAAGAAATAACTTTCTCCCTCTCCCCTCAAACATCAAAGTAAAAAAAGTGGGTCACATCCTTTCACAGGTGGCTCATATTACACTGTAACAGGTCCAGTACAGTTACACTTACTTTCTGAAATATCTCTATATCTTTAGGGACCACATTTCCACATTTTTTAGCAATATTTTTCTAATTAGCTTTGTTTGCATCGATTTTTGTTCTTAAATAATTTATATTTTAATTGAAATTTTGTTTTTTAGCTGTGTTTTGGGGTGACATTGCCTTAGACGATGAAGACTTAAATATCTTTCAAATTGATAGGACAATTGACCTTACACAGAACCCCTTTGGAAAATTTGGACATACCACAGGTACAGTTGATTATTTGATTCAGTTTGCATTCATTTAGAAGAAAATATACTCTTGAAATGCTAAAATACTCTTTAGATCATTTTTAATATTCCAGTGATCAACTTTGATTTTCTTGATATGAATGAGCCTATTTAGAAATTTAAGTTTTAGTCATAGCTTTAATTTTATTAATTAATGTATTTAACAAAGATATTGTAGTGTTTACCATGTACCATGTACCGGGCCTGGTTTAAGTACTCTGCAGGTGTTAGCTCTTTGAATCCTCATAATGACCCCATGAAGGTAGCTGCTTATTGTGATTTACAAGTGAGGAGATGGAGATTTACAAGGTTACGTAGTTTTCTTATTGTCACATAGCCAGGAAATGACTAAGTCAGGACCAAAATTCAATTCTGAGGAAGGTTAAATTTCATAGTCTTGAACATTATATTCAGTTGCCTCCTATTTAGATATTGAGATGCAAAAAGTAAATTATTCTTAGAGTCATTAAATACAAACTTATTTAGAAAAATTTATATATCTATTTTTATAATTTTTGTGGAAACCTGGAAGAGAATATCAATTTCAGCTGTTTGAACATATTTGAATTATGCCTATATGAGACTTGTAATATTTTAAAAGACATTTGGGTCCTCATTTTAAAATATCTGTACTAAAATTTAAAAATTATTTTATATTATCTTGATACAGTTTTTATTCTGTATTTTATTTTGGAGAAAAATTGCAAGGTTAAAAATTTTTAATTTCTTCTTGTAGTTATTGCTAAAACATTTATTCAGTGTCATGCTTTTTGATTTCATTGAATCTCTCCTTCTGTCCAATGCTATTTTTATTTTCTTCTTGTATTCTATGGAAAATAAAACATATAGTTCCTCTGTGGTATCTAGCAGACAAATATATTTTAGTCTTAAGACTCTTTGCCCAATTTACTTTTTCGCAGCTTTTTATTATGACATGTTTCAAAGATATCTAAAAGTTGATAGGATAATGCAAGCAACAACCATACACCTTGAAGATTCAGCAGTTGTTCAGTTTACCATATTTGCTCTCTGTATGTGTGTGTGCATGCATACATGTACAAGTATGTATAAAATATTTTGAAGTGAATTGCCAACAACATAGCTTTTCAATATTAAATAGGTTAGCATGCCCTTTTAAGAATAAAGACATTATTGTACATAATCAAAATATTATTACATATAAGAAATTTATGTAAGGTAATAAAACTTAAATAATACAGTACTTAAAAATAATATGCTTTAGCCTTTTTATACATAGTGAGTCTTTTCTGAAACATACACCAAATATATGAGGGAAACTGCTTTGCAGTGTAATCACAGATAGTACATTCCTATAGGTATGTTTATTGACAGACTCCAACCACTATCTTACACTTAACACTGTCACAGAGACAACGGATTTGGAACAAGAGAGCAATGATATAACTCAGCAAAATCTTAAATTTATCACATTACATTCTCAATTTTTATTAAAATTTTCATTAGATTCAAGCTTTATTCAGGTCATTTATTTAACCCATTGTCCTCTCTTTGTACTGGGGACATTCATTTTCTGTGATTTAGAACATTTTAATACTATGTAATTTTGTCATTTCATTTATAGTTAAGCTCTGAAATAGTAACATTTGGAAGTAAAATATCATTATTTAGATAAATAGCATAAAACAGAATTATACTATCAATTATAAAAATCATACTGTAAATATATATGTGAAAGGTACATGTTTCAAAGTAATTTGCACTATTCAGTTGAATTTCAAACATCATAAAGAATTCTATATTTTAGTTTTTTCTTACTCTAACTTTTCCCTTTCTTGTTAGTTTGTGCTGAATTGACTATACTTATTTTATTTCAAAATGTATTGTCTTTCTCAAATATTTATTAGGTTTGTATATTTTTATTTTAAAAATTTTAGAATATATGAGAAATAAATACATATTATGAATTTTCCTTTTTTCTATTTCAGTGAACTATCTACACAGAATTTTATTTATATTGCTATAAAAATTATTCAAAAAACATTATTGACTTTGAGAGTCTTGAAATGTTTTTCCTAGCCTGTAATTATTCTTATACTTATAATTACCTTAATATTAACTAAGACATTTCTTTTTTCCTCCTTCTATACCTATTTGTAGCCTCTTTCTGTACCTATTTATATGTGTTTCAGACCTATCTAATATGCAATATAATTGTTATGCAATGGTCATTTCAAATACATTTTTACTATCCTTTAAGAATGTTTGTTGTAACTGCTTAGGAATGAATGCATTTAAGTATTACCTCATCTTTCTAAAATATTCAATGAAAAAAATTTCAAAACTTTTTCTCAAGGGGCACGGCAAAAATGTGACCATGTAATTCAAATAATTAAGCAGATTATTAGTGAACAAGCACTCTAACTTATTTGCCTTTTAAGGACTTAATTGATATTTCCTATAAGAGGCTTATATATTAATAATTTTTGTTATTGTTTGTTATTAGCTTCAATCTAGGTAATTAGGTTTCAGTATTAATTTCAAAAGGGAAAAAATATTGGAAGGAAATAGTTCAAACTATTTCCATGCAAGAACCCTTTGTGGTTTGCCTGAATTTCTGGTCCTCTTTCATTGTCTTAGCCCACAGGCTCATGAACTACTTGTTCTGATATCATTAGTGATCAAATTACTTGTTTATTCAATGATACCTCTTTGTATTTGTCTATCAAAGATTCAAGGAGAAGGCAAAATAAGAGATAAAACTGGGAGAGCATTTTGTTAAAGCCCTGGAATGAGAATCAGAAGATTTGGATTTTCGTCAAATGATCTGCTTTCTGATATGACTTTGTTCTTAAAATTGCAAGAAGACATATTTCCTTATGTCACCCTCTCCTCTACATTTTGAGCTATAAAATTCTTTATATCACCTTCATAAATTTTGCAAATGGCGTAACATAACAGTGTATTTTGCAGCTGGACGTCCTTTTGGATTCTCACCTTGTGAATTTTTTTAAATTTATGTTATTGGTTTTTATAAATTATAGAAACTAATTTTCAAAATTTATTTGAACACATTATAAAATGTCATATGCTATTAGAAATATCTCAAAATTTATCCAAGCTTTGGGGCAAAAGTTGCACTATACACTTGCTTTTTTTTCCTGTTGCATTGAGAATTTACATACCTATGCTCTTCTAACATTTTTATTTCCATTTGCTGATTTGCCATCTGAAAATATTTAGTTTGTATTGGGAAAATAGCTGGAATGCACTCAACAGGAAAGAACAACTTGTTGTCATCTTATATAATACTATGTGATGTCAAGGTCACAATGAAGAAAAATGTTTCAAATTATCAATAGATGACGCAATTACCATGATGTCCAAATAAAGTCATTTAGATTGCTCTCTTAATTTCTTTTACCCCCTTAGTTTTAGTTACTAAAATTTGTTATTGTAGAAATTTTACCCTCTTCCAAGATTTATGGGTATTCATTACTTTAAGACCACATAAAAAGAGATGTCCAAAGAGAAATCAATGTAGCCTATTACTATTACTTATTTACAAGAACTTTAATTTACAGTGAAGTTAACTTACTATTTTCTTTTACTCTTTAAGGTGGATTTGGAGACCATGGTATGTCGAAGAAACGAGGGGCCCTCTACCAACTTATAGACAGGATAAGAAGAATTGGCTCTGGTATATCAATGTTTAAAGTTTCAGACACGATGTACAGTGAATATTATACTCATAGTAGTTCTGTTTGCCATTAAGCTGCAAATTATGGAAAGGATATATGCTGAGAAAGAGTCCTTTATTCATTGTTATTTTGTTAGTTGATATCCAACGTAAGGTTTTTAGAACTTAATTGGGGACATTTGAAATATTTTAGCTTATTTTCAGCTTCTCTTTAATAAAAAAATGTATTAGGTGTTTATTTTATTGTTGGTATTTATTTCCAGTAAATTGGTATTTCTATCAAGCATGGAGCTACATCAGTTTTAGTCAAATGGAAAAATATCATGGCTGTTTCTTTTGAAATAAAATCCACTTAAAGTAAATTGTCAAACTGATTAATTAGATTTAAAAAAATAATTGAAAATATTTTTTACCCTTCCAAAAATATATATAGAAAACATTCAGAGAAACTGCCTTCTGGCTTAATGATTAGTTAATATTTAAAGTATTGAATTTATTAATCACTATTTGTAGATTTTAGGGTTTCTTTTTCAAGTCTTCTGTTCAAAGTTCATATCCTAACATATCTTAAATTGATTAGTACTAATTAAATATTTTAAAGTGCCTACTTTTAAGGATTAATTTTCCAAAGTGAAGATACTTTGCTCCAGGATATTAAAAAGTTAGACATGTTAGGAACATAGGCATAGGGCGCATACATTCAGTATTCGTTGTGTCTGAAGTGTATGTGAGTGGTAAACTATTTGTATAAACAATGATATATAAATAAGAAAAAAATAATCATGAAAATGTAGGAAAAATAAAACAGTAACAAAAAATTATGAAGGGTCATCAAGAAAAGTTAGTGACTGCAGACTTGAAAGCTCTTCCACAATAGACTGCATTTTATGTTGGCCTGTTCACCTTGTGTACTGCTCTCTAAATCTTTTCTGTTGTGTAGATATGAATCCCGAGGAAATTGAAATAGAGATAGCCCATCGTCCCAGAATCTGAGACCATATCTGTCTTATTCTATTTCATTTACTATCTCTACAGTGTAATATTCACAATTTTAAGCTGTACTACAGAATATCAATTCTGATTTAAAGGACTAGGGATTTAGCAGGAGTAAGAAACGTTTTGAACATCATAGGACTTTTTAAACAATGTCTTTTTAATTCTAGTGGTGAATTTCTTGGTGCTCTAGTAAAGTAGAAAACAAAAGAATTTTTCTGTGGCTTACAAAGTCTACCTGACTTCTGTCCACTGTGGGCTGTTGTATGGAAATTCATCAAATTTGCTCATAGAGCCTTAGGAAATAGTATTTTGACATGAACTACTTAAATATTTTAACGCTGTTTTCAAGTATGTAATATAAATGAAGTTTTTCTTTAATGCATTTTGACTTCAGGCATATTTATATAAATGTGTAAATAAGGCATTTTACCTTGTCCTTTAAGAGGTAAATGATTCTCTGACCAAGGACTTCTGTTTCACAGAATGTTTTAAATGTCACTGCAGGCTTGGAGCAAAACAACACAGTTAAGGAAAAAGTACCTCTAAAATTCTCAGGGCAAAATGAGAAAAATCGAGTTCCCAGAGCTGCTACATCAAGAACTGAAAGAGTATGGCCTGGAGGTGTTATTCCTTACGTTATAGGAGGCAACTTCACTGGTAAGATATTCCCAGAGAGTCTATTTTGATAAAGAATTAATAATTATCATATAGATTAATTGTATATTTTTAAAGAATACTAACATATAAAACATAGTATTAAATGAAACATGAGAAATATTCCATTCACCTGAGTTGTCAGTTAGTGTGTTTTGAAATTTTAAAAAGTATTTAGTCTTGAATTCTAAGAATCTAAAGAACTATTCTGGTTTTTAAATTGAATTTCAAATGTACCCATTAAATCTGGAAGCTGATTTCAGCTGACAGGAATAATGTATGTCTCGTTCACAGAGCCTTGTACACACATACTTGTAGAGACAGTAAGCTCAAGCCTACTGATTATGAAGGCAGTGTCCACTCTCAAGAGTGGCTCACTGCAGTGGTCGGAGCTAGTATTCTTTGGTTGATGATAGAGGTGTTGTCTGACCTGTGCAGCCAGACCTGGGTTGGAAGAGCCCACTGTTTTATTAATGTCATGCCATTTTTCCAGGCAGCCAGCGAGCCATGTTCAAGCAGGCCATGAGGCACTGGGAAAAGCACACGTGTGTGACTTTCATTGAAAGAGGGGATGAAGAGAGTTACATTGTATTCACATATAGGCCTTGTGGGTAAGTAGAACCAGGGAGTGACTTAAGTAAATTTAGAAGGGAAAAAAATTCCATAGGTAAGATTCACTTTTTAATATTTGCTTAGTATTTTGCCCATGAGAAAGTATGAATTTTACATAAGAGAATATTATATATTAAATAAATATACTCTTTGATCACAGACCTCTGTGCATCCTCCACCACCACAGCTGCCTTTCCTTCTGTTCTAACTATATGGTGGCATTGCCAACATCCCACTAACCTGAGTTAGAAACCTCAGTATTTTTTTTAGTGATTGAATTTTTAGTGATATCAACAGAAATATTTCTGTTGATATTCACTATGTCTTATGGTTTCCACTTTTATCCCATGTCAGTCCCCTGGTCCATTCATGTCTTTGTCCCCTCACACCGGCTGTACTCCAACTGCTCTCCAGTCTTGCCTAACCAATTCACTGCCACTAGAATTATCTTCAAAAAATACTCTTCAGAGCAAAATACTACACTTTTTGAGATTCCTCAGTGTTTCCTCCTACAGTGATATTTTCTAGATTTGCTTCTTACAGGATAATAATACTCTCTTCAAAATAAACTATTCTATAAGTTGTGAAAATGCTGTGTTAAATTTCAATAGGTATTTCTACAAGCAGTGTGCTAAACCTTACTAATATTCAACCAATTGAAAGAAATATAGAGTACAGTGTTCCCTAAACTTATTTTAAAAAGGGAACACCCATCTCACCCTGTTAATAGTGAAGAACGTATATCAGTATTCCAGAACACATTCTGCGAAATGCTAGCCTGAGAATAAAACCTAGATGCTTGGATGTAACATTTAAGGAATGCCATGAACTTACCACAGCTTCCATCTGCTGCTTCTGCTGCCACTTCTTTCCACAAATCCCATAATCTAGCCAAGTTACAGTAACAGCAGTTCTCCAAGCAATGCTGTGTACTTTAAAAGACTTTTCATTGTGAAAACTTTCAAATTTTTTCTCCCTATATTTCCAGTTAGTTGGAACTTATATTTAAATATTTGAGTATTTAAATTGTTTCCATTTTTGTTTGTTTGTTTGCTAAGAATACTTGATAGGGTGTGCTGTCTACTTTACACTGCATCACATCAAGAGGCACATATGCCTGGACCTACCACTTTAGTGATACTGTGATTGATCAGTGGATTCAAATGGTGACAGCCAGGTCCCTCAATTGTAAGTTCCCATCATTGCAAAATAGTCATTTTCTCATGTTGTTCTTTTCTTTTATTCCTTCTACATTTATTAGCTGAAATTCTTCTATAAAGAGGAATTATCTCTAATCAACTATAAGTATTTGAATACCCTCTATTATAGTTCACATAGAGAAGTAAAAATAAATGCATAATTCCTTTGGAGGAAATAGTTCATGCCGTAATGACACATATTTTCAGGGTGGAGGAAGTATATATTTCACTAGGTATTGGGGGCATTACATCATCTGGCTTTGTTATACCATATTTTCCTAGAACATTTAACTTAACTTAAAAAGTAATGAGTTTTAATTTTGGCCCTACTTAAGTGACATTAGGAAAAATTATACATTATTATTTTTCTATATATTTTGATAGCACCATAATTTTTTTAGCTGACTTATTTAAGCAATGTTTTCTTCTAAATTACTCTAATTACTTACTCTTGATAAGTTTTGGTTACATTTGAAGTCCCAACTAATTCTTTATATGTATTTAATATTTTTAAATATTAAGGACCTTTTAAGGTCCAAATCTAGACTGTCCTTCCTTCCTTCTGATTATCTAATAGGAGTGGATATAGCTCAGATTACATATTTCTAAATATATAATGTATTCAAATCAATACATCTTTTCTTTACCCACACTTCAATTCTGTAAATACATGCAAAGCACCACTTATTATTTTATTGCTCAAATTCTGTTTGTAACAAATTCATATTTATACTCATTTTCTTTTATTAATTTAGCTCTTTTCAAAGTTTTCCATTTCACTTGTTTTATCCTGCTAAACTATTTTTCCCCATTCACTATCATTTCTTCATGTTTGTTTTTGTGATGTTTTAGTTGCTTGAATGCCTTTACTTTCCTTTTTCATCAGTTGAAATCTTTCACATATTTCATGCTCACCCATTTTTGAGCTGCCTGCAGTGGGACTTTGCTCTACAACAGCTATAATAGCTCCATTTCCACTGTTGGTACAAATGTCTACCTTCATCAATGATGAGAGCAGGGAGCTTACCTCTGTGTCCCTCATGACACACAGCACATGGCATTATAGGTAGGTGATCAGGAAAGTACCAACAATTTACATGTCAGCTAAAGTACATTGTGTGTAATCCTGAGATTAAAAAATGTAAGAATTCGAAGGGGGTTTGAAGAACATGTACTTCATCAATTTAGAGATGTGAAAACTGAAGTTATGACTTTCCCCAAGGTACTTAAATCTGTAGTTACATTCCTGAAATTAGACTCGAGTTTATTTGTGACTGTTAATAGTAGTAATGTCGCATTTTGGTGATTTGTTTTGGTGCTCATTTTCCAGTTCAAAGTTTGCCCTGTATTATTTTTTCAGTGATAGGAAGGATGATACTTTTTATGAAACTTGATCATTGGCCTGCTAATCATTCTAATCATTTTGTGACTTCTATATTTCATTTGAAATTACCATTATTGGCCACAATTTCATGAAATTATGGTTATTTCATCATTCTTGCTATGATAATGCTGCATTTATATCTCATAAAAATCAATTTAAATTATTAAAGAGTTTGACAGTTGGTATTACACAAAATAGTGAAAGCCATCTGGAATAAGATACATTTTGAGTCAAACATTTAACACTCTATTGGATTTAGTATTGAGTCTTTTCTCCTATAAGAGCTGTGACATATAATGTATCACATTTAGCAATACCTAGTATAAATATCCATAGAATATGAACCTTTAAGGTGGTGCCATTGATATGGACGACAACATTTATCAGTTCTGTCTCTAGCTTTAATCTAGAAGGCAAATGTGTCTTATTACTCCTTATCATTATCATCACTTTCATTGAGTTTACCCACTAAGTCAGACAACTTGTAGCTCTTGCAATTTTTAAAAATAAAAGCTAAAATAATCTCCATATTTATGGGAGGAATTATTAAATATGGAATCACCTATATCATTTAGAGCATTATATTTCCCATCTTATTCTGCTACAGTCAATTTTTATTCAATAAATATTTATTGGGTGTCTAGTTCCATATCAGGCCTTTGATAGGTGGGAAAATAATAAAATTTTAAAACGCAAAAAGTAGAAATCAGACCTTTTTGCCATTTAGCTCTAGTGTATTCTTATTTTTAAGTTGTATTATAATCGTACATTATGTTTATATGTATCTGTATGCATGTTTTTAAGTATATGATATCTTTGCTTCATCTGCAGTGGACATAAGCTTTAACCCTCATTATTGACAAAAGGTTTGAACTGAGCTATACATAATTTTCAATGAATGTCTATTAGCTTCAGTGGCATTTATTTATTTTACAAGATTATTAATTATAAACAGCAAAATGTGAGACCATTTAATAATAGAAGTTGTTTGATTTTATTCTTTGTAAGTCAGAGATTTATGTAACTGAATTTATTACCTTCATCTATTATATGCTGATTTTTAATGATTACTAAAAAACAATCAAACAAACAAATGTAGAGTTAACTTATTTTCTAGGTTTCATATGCTTTAATTGTATTTAACTTTGGTCAGTTTAATTATTCAGACTGTAACAGTAGTCACTTATTCATCCTTTCCTATTGAATTCTCATTTTGTGCCACTTACTATACTAACTTTGGGGACTATAAAATTGAATGTAAGTTGTTTTCTCTCTGCAAGGATGTTATAATTAGGCAGAGGAAGTGTGCTAGCCAGGATTCTTGTTCTCAAGCAACAGAGACTGGCTAACTTAAGCAGAAAAAATAGTTTTTTAAAGGAATTTATAGAATTATACTAATAGAAAAAGTAGAGAGCCAGGCTGAAGGAGGAGTCTCCTTCTTGCTGAAGCAAGAGCATGTTGAACCCCTCACCTTGAGCATTTCCACCACTTCTTTGGATGCTTGCTGCTAATTACTAGAGTCTTAGCTGTGTCCTGCACTTAGGAGATATGTTCTTTCAATAAGTATTTATTTATTAAAATTTTTGACTTTTTATTTTTCAAAATTTTTCCAGTTTTATTGAGATATAATTGACATACAACATAGTGTTTTAGGTGTATAACATGATGATTTTAGACTTGTATATATTGTGAAGTGATCACCACAATAAGTTTAGTTAACGTCCATCATCAAACTTAGTTACACGTTTTTTTTTTTTTTCTTGTGATGAGAACTTTTGAGATCTACTCTCTTAGCAACTTTAAAATATATGATATGGTATTGTTAACTTTAGTCACCATGCTGCACATTACAGCCTCAGAAATTACTTATGTGTAACTGGAAGTCTGTACATTTTGACCCCCTTTCATCCATTTCACCCACCCTTAGCCCCCACCTCTGGCAACCACCAATATGTTCTCTGTAACTATTGAGTTCTGTTATGTGCCAGGCTGTATTCTAGGAGCTAGCATTATAGCATGAGCAAAACAGGTACACTTTCTGCCCACCAAAGGTTACATTCTAGGTGGGGAGGCAAAAACCCTGCAAAGATAAATGAAATATAAAATGTTTTAATAGACAATAAATTCTAGGACAAAAAGGAAAGTAGTGTAAGTGGGATGGAAGGACATTTGCACAGAACTTGAAAGAGGAGGAAAGAAGCCATATGTATATCTGGGAAACAGAGTTTCTGACAGAGAAAATAGACAGTAAAAAGGCTCTGAGGCAAGAGTATTTCTGCATGCTCAGGGCACAACAAGGAAACTTCATGGCTCAAGTGGAGTGACAGGGATGATAATAAGAGACAATATCTATATGATAAGATATTTGTGTGCGAAGATTGTGTAAGATCTTATAGTTTTTTTTAATAAGTGATTTGATTTTCCTCTGAGCAAAATAGCGAGCCTGTATCAGTCAGCTTAGGCAATTTATGATGTGGTAACAAACAACTCCCAAATCCCAGGAGCTAGAGCAACAAACACTTACTCCTTACTCTTACTATATATCCGCCGTTGATCAGCTATAGCTCACTCCAGAGTCCTCACTATGGTGTCCAGTCTGATGGAGAAGCCTCTTTTTGGAACCTTGCAGTTGTAGCAGAAAGAATAGAAACAATATGGTCAACCATATTTGCTCTTAAAGATTCTCTCCAGAAATGACACAGTTTTTGCTCACATGACATTGTCCAGAGCAAGTCACACGACTAAACCCAGCAACAGTAGGGTAGGGATGTATAATTATCTCCTAGAGAGGGGTAATGAATACTTTTGAATATTGACACAATTTACGACATAGTCATTGGAGAATATTGAGTAAAGAAGTGGAGTAATCTGAGTTTACATTTAAAACATATCTTTATGCTGAGAAAAGACTGCTGTGGGGCGGGTATAAAGCTTACAGGCAACTTTCTTTGTGCGTATAGGTTTTGCTCCACCAATCCGAGGCCAAAGTAGGGAATAGCGGGTTTTGAATTACCTTCTTAGTCTCTATGGCTTAGTGAGGCTTCTCTAAAATTGGTAAAATATTTTCTTGAGAGGACAGGTAGGGCTTATAATGGCCAAGCTTTAAAAGCAGCACTCAAATTTGAAACAGAAAATCAAAAGCCATGTACAAGAAAACGGCCTCAAACCTGGATGGAATTAGAAAGAAACTCAGACATGTTAAAACCATGTTTTTATAAACTGTGCATATTAAAAATAAACTGTGCATATTAACCTGTCATTCCATACATAATTGTATGTGCATATATTTAGCTATTTAGTCATTTGAGCATCTAGAATTCTTCCATTCCTGGACCTGTAGTATTTCAGAAATCAAACCACTACATTTTTCTTCACAGGACCATTGTAAAAGCCAGTGTGAAATGTATCTTTGCTTTCCATTATGAAACCCCATCTTATTTATTGGAAATTGTTATAGGTAAAATTATGCTAATAAAAGGTGTTTTAGATTAAAAGAATCAACCACATTGCTTGACTATCTCCTGGATTTTGATTTGCAAAGTACTTTTTTCTCTGAATATAACCAGCAAAAATGATTCAGTGTGGGTAATTTAGTTGCTGTATAATCCTCAGATATTTCACTTTCATCACTATTGCTTTATGGTAGCAAATATTTCAGTTTAAATCTCTCCAAAATTTGCAAATTTTGAGTTTTGCTACACCTAATACTTTACTATTTCAGTATGTAATAAATAATTATGTATGTATAAATTTAAAAGTCATGGTAAAAAAAAATCTACCTGAGAGCAAAAATACAAGTCCCTGATTTTTTTCCCTACCAGTTACCTCACTTTTCTTTCTTTTACTGATTTATTAAACTTAATTAACTCTTATAATAGATTCATAAATAATAAGCTGAATAACTTTTTCTAACTGGCATTTAAAGCCTACAGAAATAATTGGAATGACAAATGTGCTTACTCTGAAAAGTGAAATTAGTGAAATGCATTTTTAAAATTTGGGCAATTAATTTTGGGCAATTTCCTCTTTTAACTTAATAAATTAGAAAAGATGTTTGGTGTCCGGCACATTATGATTCCCATCTATTCAAGACCAGCTATTTACTGCCCTCTATTGCTGTCTAGAGGGGTGGCCCTTAGATAAGCTATTTTAATGTAAACCCTAAATTTTGAAGCTTTAAGTGTAATTTTATTTATAACTATGATTGTAGTTACCATATTATTATACCATTTAAAGCTTATTTTAAAGTGTGTCCGTATGTGTCAACCCTTGCATGTTTGTGCACACTCTCTCATGCACAGTGACACACATGCATGTATGCCCACACACACAAAATGAATAAATGGAATATCTATATTTTGGGTAGAAAAGCATCACTGAATATGTATAAATATCAATAAATTGAAGAAAATTTGCAGGAAGATGCTCTGCATGCTTCACATTCTGAAAGTCCAAGAGATTCTTTCAGAAGGTGAAATGGACTATCACACTAAACATTTGCCTGACCATTTGACACAGTCTCATAATTCTACCAGTTGTTGATTTTCCTTCACCAGTCAACCATTAACCCTAGATAATTCACCTTTTGAAACTAATTTTCCTTGATTGACTTCTCTTAAAAGTTCTCTTCTTTAAAAAAATTCTCCCATGAAGAGGAAAAGTAATTCCTTTCTTAATTAACCAACATTTTTCACAAACTTAATTGTTTTTCTCAAAGAGGAAAAATAAACTTTGTTTTTATTTTTAATACTGAAATAATGGATTATTGTTAGATAACGATATTGACAAAGTGGTTACCTAAATGGGTTTTGAGGATAAAAAATTGTATTAGAAATACATGTGAGTTGATGTCTTGTGTTTAACTATATGTATAATAGCCATTAATCGTCATCATAAGTATTTTATTTTCTGATTTATCTTCTGAATACTCCTAAAAATTATTTAAGGCACATCTTCTAATATATGAATTAGTACAAAGGCACTTCAATAGATTATTTGGGGACTTGTACATAAATCTACCAGGATTACTAGAAATTTTTATTAATGAAATATTTATTAATGAAAAACTGTTCTGCCTCTGAATGTGTTGGACTTTACAGTTCATTACAAAAGTTTCACCCTACTGTAATTCACTCAGCATCTCCCTGTCCACCACCATCTGCACTTTCTACTTTATTCCAGATGCTGCTCCTATGTAGGTCGGCGTGGAAATGGACCTCAGGCTATCTCTATTGGCAAGAACTGTGATAAATTTGGAATTGTTGTTCATGAATTGGGCCATGTGATAGGCTTTTGGCATGAACACACACGACCAGATCGAGATAATCATGTAACTATCATAAGAGAAAACATCCAGCCAGGTGAGAGGCTTCAGAATGTGTTGGGTTTAAGGTTGACTAAATATCTTTTAAATGTATTGTACTATTTAACTTCTTAAAAAATGTGAACTGATTTTGTTGATATTGTAGATCAACATTTTGCTTGATTTAAAAATAGCTGCTATGTTGTTAATTTTTTCCTGCAGACCAAATGATCTTATGCATTTTTTAGGCTTGCTTTTTTTCTTAAGATTTAGCTATTTTATATCCAAACTTCGGTGCTTTCCAAGAATGGGTGTAGGCTATTAAAACATAAATTAATATTAATAAATTTTTAAAAAGTATTTTCTATACTTAATTCTATAATTTATATTGTTGGCTTTTAAAAAGGATCCAAGGTTTGCCACAAAATGTGCTGCTACCATACAAATCTATATTATATCAGGGAAAATTTCTGGAGAAAATTCCAGGGAAGTGAGTCATTTCCAGGACAGTCCAAATATTTTCTTGAGATTTCCCCTGAACTACACTAAAGACAAATTCTTAAGAATGTTTTCAATAGTTTCAGTAGTTCAATAGTTAATATATAATTAAAATTTAATTTTCTCCAACAGTTGATGTGTGATAATCACCTCATTTAGTTTTTCATTTGTTTTACCTTTCATAATTCATAAAGATAAGTACATTTCAATTGCCAGAAGAAAAATCCTGTTGTTTAGAATCGTCTTAGAAAGTTGTGTGTATTTCAAGCAGAAGCAAAGCAGAAATGTGTCCTTATTTCCTTATTCATGGCCAGTTTTAAGTTACAAACATTTAATTCCTTAGAATTTCCTGTGATTTACAGCATTGCTCTATTTATTTGTTCATAGCATATTTGCTGCCAGTTATTTATCGAGGCACTATTAGATGTTGGAGATAGTTCATGAAAATTACAGAGCTTAGTGTATGTATATCCATGTATACAAACGATTGCAAGCGAGTGAGAATAGTGTTATATTGAGAACACAATCCAGTTCAAGCAAGGTGTGACAAAACGTGCCTTGCGAGTCAAGGGAGACGTCACAAAGGAACTGAAATTTAGAAGTAAAGGGGTTCTAAGTACCCAGAAGAGTGATGGAATTTCTAACTGGAAAAAAATAAAAGCATCATGATCAAAGCTACAATTACAGATAATTGAATCATTTTTATTTGCCCAAATGGCTGCATGGTAAGTTACAAATGAGAGACTAGTTGGTAATTACCAAGGGAGATTAGATCATAGGGATTTTCTATCTGAAGCTAAGAAATTTGGATTTTATCCTCTAGCTACTGGAGAATAATCAAAGGATTGAAAGCAGAGCAAGTTCAGATTTAAAAAAAGAATTATTTCAGCTGTAGGGATTATTAACTGAGAATGGGGATATGGGGGTGGGGAGGATGAACGTGACATCAGGGAAACCTATTAGAAACTTAAATAAATCGTTTATAAGAGATGACTAAGTCCTCAGTTAGGGTGGTGTAGGCCAAGAAGAAGGAGAGGAATAATCTTTCAAAAATATTTTAAGAGAGACATCATGTGAAAGCAAATCTTCAAGATTTTATTTTTAGGCAACAGGGTGAATGGTGGCACCATCAAATGAACTAAGAAATATGGATAAAGCAACATATTTTTAAGAGGAAGAAAGACAAATAATTTCATTTAGCATATCCTTGAGTTTGAGTAGCCTTTAGATGGTCCAAGTGGAGATATTTAGTAGACAAAGGAAAGGTGAGTCTAGACTTTAAGATATCTAGAGATAGAAATTTGTTAGTGGATTTCACTGTCTAGGAAAATATTGGAGGAAGAAGAAAATAAGATTGTGGGTAGAATATGGGGAACACCAATATTTAAGCAACATTTTGTAGAATATCTCTCAAAAGATTAAGAAAGTTTGGTCTAAGAAGTAGGAGAAAAATCAATGAATGTGATGTTACAGGGAAGAGATCACTTCAAGAATAAATAAGTAATCTGTAGTGTTGAAAGAGAAGTAAATAACATCTATACTCCCAATATAGAAGACTCTAATGCCTGACCAGCTATCAAGGTTCATCTTATACTTTATATCATTGGGAGACAAAGAGAAAATATTTCTGAAAATTACTCCAACTACCAACTAAATGAAAAGTTTTCTATCAACCACAGTTACTAAGTTTCCTCTATTATGTGGACAAAATAACTTATAAAGGAAGTAACTTCCAAGAATGATTCTTGCTCTTAAAAATAGGACTCTGGTTCAACATAAATTTATGTAGCTAAAACAAGCAGAAATGTATAAATAGTATGTAAATGTATAATACTTAACACAGTGCTAAACAATTTATGGCTTTTCATATTTTTGAGTCAATATGACTCATAATGTTGACTCATATTTTGAGTCAACATTCAATCTAATAGAAAACAACAATTTATTGCATGAGATGTCCTGAGTATTTGGAACTCCACGCACATTTTGTCATACCTTGTTTGGATTCAACGATATTCTCAACATATGATTATTCTCACTTTTCTCACTCACTTGCAATCATTTGTATGTATGGACAGTTGGCCCTCCATATTCATAGGGTTTTGCATCCGTGGATTCAACCAACCTCTGAATCGAAATTTCTTATTCATTGTACTAAACCATTTTATATAAGGGACTTAAACATCCACAGATTTTGGTATCCAAGGGCTTGCTGGAACCAGTCCCCTGCAGATACTGAAGGCTGACCATACTATAGAAAGGTAATTCTAGTATGAAAAATTCATATTGGAGAATAATCTTCAGCAAATTTGTGACTTACTTTGGCTCAGAAATTTTAGATCAAGTGTTATTCTAAGGCAACGTCTAATAAGTGTGGACTTTAGCTGCATTTATATGCAAAATTAGTGACTATGATAGGAGCCAATTTGGTACAAAGATTGGATTACTTTAATCCACTTTAGAACATGCCTTCAAGAAGGAGGTTGTCATTTTTTAAAAAATTGTTTAGGGTGAGTTCCACTGGTGCTCTGTATCTCTGATCCTCTTCTCTTCTGTTATGAAATGTCTGCTTTTCTTTATTTGGACCAAGTATGGCTGTGTTCTTTTTAACTAGCACAAAACACTATGTCACATACATGGTAACTGTTCAGTTATATACATCAAAATGTATTACTGAAGTTGCTTCATGTTCCACTTTCAGAAATTTTTATGAAACATTTTGCTTTAATTAGAGAGTATACTTACATACTGTGCTTGAAATTTGAAATCCCCAGTGGATTATAGATCAATATTAAAAAATCAGCCCCACAGCTTTATAAAAATCTCACCTTAGAATTGGTTGTACTAAAATATACTTACCATGTTTAATGAAGAAGAGAGTTTTTAGCAGTTACTTCTATCAAAGATTGAAGATAATGCAGGGTATTTCCCCAGAATATTTGTAATACAGACAGATAAACCAGAGATTTGTGAAACGTGTATTTTACTATATGGTGTGCTTAGTTCATTGAAAACTATTTATTGTATGAATTCATTGTAAGGTGGATTGAAACACTTTACTCTGGGACTTGGGTTCTGTAACTTCACGCTGATTGTTTTATCTTTAATGCTCAAGTGAGTATATCAGACTTCCTTATCACATGTAGGAAAGATATTATACTCTGTGGCATCACTCAGTTTTTTTATTGCTTTTTGGGAAATTTTTAATGTAATATTTTTATATTCAGTAGTAATACGGCAGTTGGAATAAAATTAAAATAGTTACATAAGTGTTGTACAATAATAGTTCTTTTTTAAACTCCAGCCTTGAATTTGGAAGCCTAATAACTCAATTTTACACTTTGATGTTTCAAAATGAGCTATAAAAGCAGCCATCTTTGGCTGCTGAAATTGTGAAAAATGAATCACTGAAACCTAAACTCTGAGGAAATACTCTGCCTCTGGAACCATTGATGTAGATCTACACATTTAATACTATGTTATTTTCAAATTTCAAGAAATAATATTATAATACAGATATAAACAGGCAGTTGAGAAATCTATTAACATGAAGATGTCCAGAAGTTAAAATAGCAGTCGTGAAAAGTAAAAAATGAAAAAGTAAGTTCTGAAACATATTCTCTTGACCAAAAAAGCCCTCCAAGTAAAGCCTCATTTTCATCAAAGAGAATCTTGTTTCAGTTGCTGTGGTTTTATCTTTAGTGACAAAGTCACATAGCAAATGCCTGCAATGTTCTGTGTACATACAAATATAGTTTTTATATTTTTTCCAGTGTTTCATAGAATCTAACACAAATAGGAAGTTGGTTTTTTTTTTTGGTCTTGGCAAATATAGTCATAAGAGAGAGGTGGGAGACTTATTAAGTAAAAATGTAACTTTTTATAATCACAATATTGTTAAAAAAAAACCCAGTAGTTTTAAAGAAACAAATATTTAGAGACGGTAAAAGAGTATACAAAGAAAACAAATCCAAAGCATGCTTTTGGTAATCTACCTTTTTGCCAAAATTAACTTATTAATTAAATTCAATATTACTCTTTCAGGATGATATTCAAGTGCAAGCATTGGCACTGGATGTACCCTTTTGCGAGTACCTGAGTGTTAGTGTGTAAATACAACGTCGTGAAGATCAGCGATCGGCATTTGGTAGAGAGCAGATAGAGGCAGGAAGGGCTCTTCTGTTCTCTTTTCTGTCTGTTAAGAGGCTTCTGAAATGCTTTCTGTGCCTAATTCTTAGGTCAAGAGTACAATTTTCTGAAGATGGAGCCTGGAGAAGTGAACTCGCTTGGAGAAAGATATGATTTTGACAGTATCATGCACTATGCCAGGAACACCTTCTCAAGGTTGGAGTCTCAGGTTATACCTTTTGACTTTTAATTCCTTTCCTCTGTGTGGCTCCTCACAAAACTAGGCTTAACATTAGAACTAGAACCACTTTCAGATATCACTGTCATAAAGTACAAAATATACTTGATTGGTGTTTATAGCCAACAACAGGCATTTGAGATTTTAAAAACACATTTTCACATTTCCTATCAAATAAATAGATTCTAAGTAAAAATTTAAAAATTTTGAATTATTTAATATTCTTAAATCTTAAAAAAGTTCAATTAAAATGATTACCAAACCAATCTGTGTGTTAAATTGGCAAAGCACTATTAATGAAAATTAGGCATTTCATGTCAAATAGCAAGCTCAGTTGTTGAGTTGGAATGTTATACTCTCATGTGACTTGTGTTTTTATTGTGTATTTTCTGCTGCTCAAGTACTAATTTCACTTGAAATATGCTATAGTAAAATAATTCTCAGAGAACATTTTAGGAAGATATTTTACCTCATATTCTTTCCAGTTATTAACCTTAAAATTATTTCATTAGTGACTGAATGCTAATTTTTAAGAGTGTAATAAATTTGGGTTTTGATCTATTTCACTCTAAACAAGATGTCATCAAGGCAATGGTTTCCAGGTAAGGAATCTGAAACTGTTAAAACCGCTGAAGTCATATCTTTTTCCCATTTTATACCCATTTTACAGTCATGTCCATTCCACTCATTCTTTTCTGATCACCATGCCCATTTCACAATTCATTAATGTCTATGTTTAAAGGAAGGGTCAGGAAGAAGACAGTAAATTCAAGTTAATTCCCTGTTTTTTAAAAAAATATGTGGTAATAAGTAGAGAAGGGTGTAAACAAATTCTTAACACTTGGATACATATTTAAATTATGCTTCTTTACGACCAAACTTTATTATTAACATAATTGAGTGTTAACTGTATTTTAAAAATCATTTTATTCTGAAGTATATAATCGTTCAAATATAATAACTACCCAAATACTTATTGTTTTTTGAATTGAATTGAAGTTTTAGCAGAAATACATCCATAAACTTGGCCTGAAAATAATCTTAAAGAATTGTAAAGCTTTGTTTTCATGCTTGGAATTGAGTTTTATTTAGAAACATGTGAAAAATGAGGATTGGGGTACCAGTTTAGCCAAAGTGCTTCTCTTATACTGTTGAGTTATATTAGTTAGAAATAAACTGAGTTTAGATTCTTTGGAATAGAGCAGGTACTGGAGAATGGAAAAGGTAATTTATTATTTCTGTCCCTGGTAGACAATGAACCTATACCAAAGCTTGAAACATACATTTTCCCTTATTCTGTACTCCTTTCATGTCTTTAAATTGTTGCTTTTCCATAAACCATGAGGTTCTTGCAATTTATCACCCCCTACACCTAACTTTGGAGTTGCATGACAACTGGCCTTGAAATATTATTTTCTCTTACTGTTTCAAAATTTACCTGTTCACTTTTCCCAAATAAACTTATATTCCTATAGTGAAAGTAACTGTATCTACCTGTTAGAAGAATTGATCCAATTCACATTATTTTTTTTTTCTGAATTTCATGAGAGGAAACATTTCACACAGCTCTCAGCCACCACCTCCAAAGTATTTGATTTTTTTTATTATTGTGGTAAAGAAACCTCAATATCAAATTTACTATATTATCTAATTTTAAGTGTACAATTTATTAGTATTAAGTACATTCACATTGTTGTGAAACAGATGTCCAGAAACTTTTCATCTTGAAAAACTGAAACCCTATACCCATTAAACAAAAACTCTCCTCTCTCCCCCCGCCCCACTGCCAGCCTCTGGACCACCTTTCCACTTTCTGTGTCTATGAATTTGGCTACTTTAGATACCAAGTAGAATCACACAGTATTTGTCTTTTTGTGACTGGTTTATTTCACCTAGCATAAAATTCTTTAGGTTCATCTATGTTGTAGCATGTAACAGAATTTCCTTCCTTTTTAAGGCTGAATAATAGTCCATTGGATGCCTATACCACATTTTGTTCATTCATTTGTTGATGGACATCTGAGTTGCTTTCACCTCTTGGCTACTGTGAATAGTGCTGCCATGAACATGGGTATGCAAATATCTCTTCCAGATCCTGTTTTCCATTCTTTTGGATATATACACAGAAGTAAGTGGGATTGCTGAACTATATGTTTAATTTTTTGAAGAACCTCCATAATTTTTTTCTTAGATGCTGCACTATTTCACAATCCCATCAACAGTGCATAAGTGTTCCAATTTCTCCATATACTCACCAACATGTGTTCTTTTCTGTTTTGTTTTTTAATTTTTTGATAGTAGCCATCCTAATGGGTATGATGTGATGTCTCTTTATGGTTTTGATTTGCATTTCTCTGATAATTAGTGATGTTGAACATATTTTTATATGCTTGGCCATCAATGTCACCAATTACTAGAGAAATGCAAATCAAAACTACAATGAGGTATCACCTCACACCGGTCAGAATGGCCATCATCAAAAAATCTACAAACAGGGCTTCCCTGGTGGCTCAGTAGTTAAGGATCCGCCTGCCAATGCAGGAGACATGGGTTCGAGCCCTGGTCCGGGAAGATCCCACATGCCACGGAGCAGCTAAGCCCGTGCACCACAACTACGAGGCTGCACTCTAGAGCCCATGAGCCACAATTACTGAGCCCGTGTGCCACAACTACTGAAGCCCACACACCTAGAGCCCATGCTCCCAACAAGAGAAGCCACCACAATGAGAAGCCTGTGCACCACAATGAAGAGTAGCCCCCACTCACAGCAACCAGAGAAAAGCCCACATGCAGCAACGAAGACCCAATGCAGCCAAACATAAAATAAATAAAATAAAACAAATAAATTTATTTTTTTTTAAATCTACAAACAATAAATGCTGGAGAGTGTGTGGAGAAATGGGAACTCTCTTGCACTGTTGCTGGGAATGAAAATTGATACAACCACTATGGAGAACAGTATGAGGTTCCTTAAAAAACTAAAAGTAGAACTACCATGTGACCCAGCAATCCCACTACTGGGCATATACTCAGAGAAAATCATAATTCAAAAAGGCACATGCACCCCAGTGTTCATTGCAGCACTATTTACAGTAGACAGGACATGGAAGTAACCTAAATGTCCATCAACAGAGGAATGGATAAAGAAGATGTGATACATATATACAATGGAATATTACTCAACCATAAAGAGGAAAGAAATTGGGTCATATGTAGAGATGTTGATGGACCAAGAGACTGTCATACAGAGTGAGGTAAGTCAGAAAGAGAAAAACAAATATTGTATATTAACACATATACATGGAATCTTAAAAAATGGTGTAGATGATCTTATTTGCAAAGCAGAAATAGATACACAGACGTAGAGAACAAACATATAGATACCAAGGGAGAAGGAGGAGGGTATGATGAATTGGAAGATGAGGATTGACGTATATACACTATTGATACTATGTATAAAGTAGATAACAAATGAGAACCTACTGTATAGCACAGGGAACTCTACTCAGTGCTCTGTGGTGACCTAAATGGGAAGGAAATCCAAAAAAGAGGGGATGTATGTATATGTATAGTTGATTCACTTTACTGTACAGTAAAAACTAACACAACATTGTAAAGCAACTATACTCCAATAAATATTAGAAAAATAAGAAAAAACCTCCATTCAAATCTTCTGCATATTTTTAAATCAGATTACTCCATTTTTCTATTGTTGAGCTGTAGAATTTCTTTGTATATTCTGGTCTCTTATCAGATATATATATCTTACAAATATTTTCTCTCCTTTTCACTTGATTGTTTCCTTTGCTGTGCACAAGATTTTTAATTAAAAGCCTAGTCCCACTTACCTGTTTTTGCTTTTGTTGCCTATGCTTTTGGTGTCATATCCAAGAAATCATTGCCATATTCAATGTCATGAAGCTTTTCCCCTATGTTTTCTCCTAAGAGTTTTATAATTTGGGGTCTTATGTTCAGGTCTTTAATCTCCTTTGAGTTATTTTTATATATGGCTTTGATAAGGGTCTAACTTTGTTCTTTTGCACATGGATATCCAGTTTTCCCAACATCATTTGTTGTAAAGATTATATTTTCCCCATTGAGTCAATACCTTTAACACCGTTGTTAAAGGTCATTATATACACTAGGGTGTATTTTATTCCTGTTCAATTCCATTGTTCTATAGGTCTGTCTTTATGCCAATATCACACTGTTTTAGTTACTTAAGGTTTGTAATATGTTTTGAAATCTGAAAGCATGAGTCCTCCACCTTTGTTCTTTTTTTTCAAAATATGTTTGGCTATTCAAGGTCCTAAGAGATAACATATGAATTTTAGAACTGTTATTTTTTCTATTTCCACAATAAATGCCATTTTGGTTTTGATAGGGATTATGTTGATTGTTTTGAGTAATGTGAACATCTTAACAAATAAAGTCATCCGATCCATAAATATAGAATATTTTTCCATTTGTTTGTGTCTTCTTTGATTTCTTTCAGTGATGTTTTGTAATCTTCAGTGTGTAAGTCTTTTGCTTCCTTGGTTAAGTTTATTCCCAAGTATTTTATTCTTTTTGATGCTATTTTAAATGGAATTGTTTTCTTAATTTCCTTTTCAGGTTGTTCACTGTTATTGTATAGAAATGCAACTGCTTTTTGAGTGTTTATTTTGTATCCTGCAACTTTGCTGAATTCATTTATCAGTTCTGATAGTTTTTGGGTGGACTCACTAGGATTTTATACATATAAGATTGTGTTATCTGCAAACAGAGATCACTTTACTTCTTTCTTTTCAACATGTATACCTTTTGACTCTTTGTCTTGCCTAATTTCTCTGACTAGGACTTTCAATACTATGTTGAATAAAAATGGTGAGAGCAAACATCCTTGCCATCTTCCCGATCTTAGATGAAAAGTTTTCAGTTTTTCATTGAGCGTGATGTTATCTGTAGGTTTTTCATATATGACCTTTTATGTTGAGATAGTTCCCTTCTATTACTAGTTTATTGAGTGCTTTTATCATGAAAGTGTGTTGAATTTTGTCAAATGCTTTTTCTGCATCAATTAGATGCACATGTGGCTTTTGCCTTTCATTCTGTTAATGTATTTAAAGTTTTATAGTTTCTTCTATTCTGAACCCAGATAGTCTATAAAAGTTTTAGGTGTTTTCATCAATATTTCCCATGAGCAGATTTAGGTACTTACTGTGGGAAGAACAGGGCTGCATATAGGGGGCTTTATATGCATAGATAATTTGTAATGTACATGCTTGCAAACTGGAACTGCCCATTTCTAATAAGAGAATTGTAAAATTTTATGAAGTTTTATGAAAAGCACAGTTAATTCACTCTTCTAATGTAGGTAAAACAAATGAAGATTAGTAAGTGACCCCATCTATGGTCTGTCTGAAAGAATGCTCAGGAAGAGCCTACATTGCTTAATGGCCTGGTTGTGGAAGGAGAGAATTGTTAACTTTCTGACCACGAAGAAAGATCAAAAGAATGGGTGACTGACATCCATACAAATGGAAGGCAGATTATCTCCGTAGATTAAATGAGCCAAAATTCATCATTCTACCCCCTGAGTTTGAATATATCTTCTACAAGATGTCCTTGACCTTTTAAAATTGAATCATTTTTTTTAAACTGGAAAAAACAAAATTTTTCGAAAACTACAGGGTTTTTTTTTCAAAATAGGAATAGAAAATAGTGAATACTCCATTAGTACTGAAGTACTGCAGAAGTTGTAACACTTCACTAATTTGGACTTACCTACTTAATGTATCTGTTGATTTGTGCAGCAAAGTTGAAGAATAACTTTTCTCAGTGCTGCCCTATAGCTCAACTTCCCCTTCAGTTGCACTGGCCTAGCTGGAGTTGTATTTTATTAAGTGTGTGCAAGCTCTCACTTTTGATGATTAGTTCCACCTCCCTACCTTCATCTCAGGTAGTATACATATTGAGTTTTGTAGAGACTTAGATTTGGTTTTAAAAGAGTTCCAGTATCTATTTGAGTTATCTGGGTTTTATCTAAAGATCACCACTCCTACCTAGAAGCTAGAGAGGTAAGTCATAAGTTACTTATAGATCATGTCACACCTCTGTTTACCATCATCCACATATTAAGAGTTTTCCTCAGGTTAAAAGTTAAAATTTGACACTCAAACAAAGCATCCTCCCATCTCAGGGTTGCTGTATTTCTTAAAGTTCTTTCTGTCTGTGACTCTCTACTCCCAGTTAACCACATTTACCTCGCCTTCACTTCCTTGATGTTTGGCTAAAATGTCAACTTCCAAGTGAGCTTTTCTTTGATCACTCTTTTTAAAAGCTATCCCATCAATGGATAATCAATATCCATCTTCTCTTCCTTATTTTTCTCCAAAGTATCTGTCACTATCTCAGTTAACAATCTTTGTTAAAGTCTTTCTCCCTCCATTAGAATGTGAGAATCTTAAGGGGAGGAATTTTTGTTTCTTTTATTTACTGCTATAAATCCAGGCCTATAGGTCTATAACAATGCTCAGTAAATTTTTTTTTTTTTTTTTTGGCCACGCCGCACGGCATGCAGGATCTTAGTTCCCTGACCAAGGATCAAACCCATACCCCCTGCAGTAGAAGCGTGGAGTCCTAACCACTGGACCACCAGGGAATTCCCAGTAAATATTTCTTAAAGGAAGAAAAAGTAGAGCTAAAATATTGTTCTTTTAACCTGCAGTTTAAATACAATTTTTCATTTAAAATTTTTGGAAAGAAACTGTCCCATCATTCATCCCAGTTTCAAAGTTTGTTTGTTTTTTTAATAATTATATTTCTTAATTTAAAATACTTTTATAAAAAGTGTCTCTTTTTATACAATATTTCCTCACCATTTAAAATAGTCTCCCAATCCATTTAACTTTTAAGCTCAGTTACTTTCTTTAGAGCTACAAATGTTAATATTCATTGCAAAATTAGACTGTATCTTTAGTTTACTATATCCACAATTTTTAGTCATGCACAGCAAGTTTGTATCACAATCTTGGGTGTGAAAAAGCTCAGTATCTTAGCATTATTAGTGCATTGCTTAGTTGTTTTGGTTTTTTTTTTTGCTTATAAATTTTACCATGAAGTTTTTACACATATAGTGTATAGTATATGTGTGTGTTTGTATTTATGTGTGTGTTACAAAATTATTTTGCTTTAAACTTCCTAAAATTTGACACTCTTTGTTTTTCCTTGTTCTTGTAACATATACTGTGATAATTTGACTTCAAAAAATACTTAGGTTAAATTAGTAGTTTAATTTAAAAATAGTAACATACTTGTTTTGTTTGACTTTTACAAGTTTAGTAATCTAAAAAATATTTATTATAAGCTGTTCTTAAGAAAATAGATCTCTATGAGGAAGAATTGTTTGACAACTTGGTAATTTAAGTGTTTTTAGATCTTGAGCTACCAAAACAAGAACCATAGTGTACTTGATAGGGACTATATAGAATTTTAGCTTTTAAAAAACAAATTATATACATTTTTAAGGAAAAAGTGAATGCCATCACTGACTTTATATTAGCCATACACATTTAGCACACAATTTTCTTCTACTTTGATGAAAGTGTTTTGAAGGTCTGACACACTCTTTAAATCTTAACACTGATATATTTCTCTTTTGATTGGTCTTAGTTTGAAAAAAAAACATATTTGTAAGGAATATATGTGTTTTAATGTGGTGACTTATGTGTGACTTGCTTCTGATTTTTTTCAGGGGGATGTTTCTGGATACCATTCTTCCCTCACGTGATGATAATGGCATACGTCCAGCAATTGGTCAGCGAACCCGTTTAAGCAAAGGAGATATTGCACAGGCAAGAAAGCTGTACAGATGTCCAGGTATTGCACCATCCAAACTCAGAAGCATAATTGTGCCTGATAGTGCTCCTACAGATGAATAAGCCACAATTTTTTTTTTTTTTTTTTTCGGCACGCGGGCCTCTCACTATTGTGGCCTCTCCCGTTGCGGAGCACAGGCTCTGGACGCGCAGGCTCAGCGGCCATGGCTCACGGGCCCAGACTCTCTGCGGCACGTGGGATCTTCCCGGACCGGGACACGAACCCGTGTCCCCTGCATCGGCAGGCAGACTCTCAACCACTTAAAGGAAGGTCTTAATAACAATGTACCAAGAGAACACTAATGCCTTACTGGTCCAAGAAAGAAAAGATTCTGCTTCCAAACTGGAAATACTTATTACTCTATGCACCTCCTATATACTCAAAATGCTTGAAATAGCTTATATCAAAGATACATGCTTGGGCTTCCCTTGTGGCACAGTGGTTGAGAGTCTGCCTGCCGATACAGGGGACAAGGGTTCGTACCCTGTTCCGGGAGGATCCCACATGCCGCGGAGCAGCTGGTCCCATGAGCCATGGCCGCTGGGCCTGCGCGTCCGGAGCCCGTGCTCTGCAACGGGAGAGGCCACAGCAGTGAGCAGCCCATGTACGACACACACACAAACAATAAAAGATACATGCTTAACACAGCTTTTCCCAAATTTTTTTGTTTATGGAAACTAATACCTATGGAATTCACTTTTTGTTCCAGATACTAAGATCACAAGTGGTAAAATAACTAATAAAGTTTTAACTGGCTGCTATTCTAATAATTTGTGCAGACATTCAGAGATAAGATGGGTATATTAATCATTGAAGTTTTGCATAGGCTTTGCTTAAATTTTATTTATATATATATTTAATTATTGGGAAGTTATATTAACTAAGTTTACTGTGATTATTGGTCCCAGTCCAGGAAACTTTCTTTGTAGAGTACAAGAGAGGGCTAGCTGATTCATTAACAAGTGTAATATTTGCTCATTAACATATAGAAACGTCTTCATGGGGCAGAGAATGGTCTTCGTCTTCCCTTTATCCTGGTAATCAGCAGTCTGCTTGTGAAAGAGATCCTCTCTGGGGTGTGTGAGTGGTGGTGCATCTTCTCTTCATAAATGATTCATTTGTTCTCTTGTTCTCTTTCTTTTGGGGGGCCTTCTTTTTCTTGTGACTCTCATTTTCTAAGTGTATTCTTCTCTACTTGGATCTAATTTTAGGATTACTTTCCTTTTTAATTTCTAAACTCCTGAAGCTGAACTCTTCTTCTAATACAGTCTCTTGTCTTTATTTGCATTTTCTCTTGATATAGTTTTTCTGTGGTCCCATGAACTTTTGGCTTATAACTACTTCATACTTATGTCAACTGTCAAACATAATATTCTCTCAGTAAATCTTCTTTAATTAAATGTCAAGTAACATAATAAAACTAGGAAAAAATAAAGTAAATTAATATCTAAAAATGAGCTTCTGAGGATTAGAATGTTCATTATTATATAAAAGTGTATGTGTATTCACACATGAACCCACATACAAATCTATGTTTACAAATTTAAAAGTGTTGTTAAACATACAGTATATCCACGTCTATGGATGCACATCTGTGTGGTTGTAGGTATGGAAGACCAGTTTCAGTGTTCATGGAATTCGAATACTGGAAACTTTCTAAACATTCGTACATTAAATTTATTTTTTAATTAATATGAGGTTCTTTTTAGTTACCTAAAATATTAATCTCTTTAATTCCTTATATAATGCTCTGAGATTCCAGCCAGAATACTCTTGATATATGTGCTTATGTACAATTCTTGGCTAAAATATATTGCCAACATGCAAAAAGAATTTAGCTATTTTCCCACTTATTCATGGACCCATTTATTCTTCTCCCATAAAACATTCCTTAGTTCAGTTGATGGTACCACACATAGATCTTCCCAAACCACAACCTGGAGGGCATCCTTACTTACTTCCTCCTTTTGCCTCACTTCCCACAACTAGTCAGTCCTGCTGCCTTCTTGGTATCGATCTCACGTACTTGAAGTAAATCCCCTATCCTAGGGATCCTCATCTTTTGTCTGGATTGCTTCAATGCTTCCTAAATAAGCTCTTCCCTCCATTCTTACATCTCTTTAATTCTCTGGCCACACTGCTGTTCAAGTGACTTTTCAATATGTAAATTTTATTCTGCTTATTTTAGGATAAAGGCTGATTTCCTTCTCAATGTCTCCTTCAAGATTTTCCCCTGTCTCTTCTCCCAGGCTCTTCTCTAGGTATTTCCCTTACAACCTAGTTTCTCATCTCTACTTCATTCAGCCCCTGACACTACAGTAAGCTTGCCTCTTGCTTCTTCCTCCAGCCAGAAAACTCTTAACTGCCTCCTGGCTAAATCCTAACTCATATTCAGAATTTGGCTCCTATGTAACCTCCTACTTAAAAACCCGCTGGTCTCCCAGGAATCCCATGTTGCTAAATACTTTATTTGATTCTGGCCTTACGTCTTACTCCTATAATCATCAATTTACTTGTCATTTCCCACATTAGAGTATAATTAGAGTATAATCTTTAGGATTGGAGTTAGGTTTTTTCCTCAGGGTATTCTGAATCAGATATAAGTTACGTGCTCAATTAGTTGTTGTATGAATGAAATAGTTGCTTTAATATGGGAAAAGTACTGCACCAGATATTATGGCCACAGAGAAGGAAGCACAGATTATACACACAAATAGCCAATTATCTGTGGGATTATACAGACAATATTACTTGTTGAGGAAGTAAATCTCATCAGTAAAGGATGCTAAAGCAGTTCTGAGAGGGGTGCCTAAACTGCGCTGCACCCTGGAATGAGGAAGGCTTCTTGGAGTTGGTATTTGTGCTTCATCTTCAAAGATGATTCAAACTTGGCTAGGGAGTTACTATTGAAATAGATTTTAAAATATTTCAGTAATTAATCTCACCATTATGGCTCAGATGACTTGGTATTTCTTTTAACATTCCTTATCTTAAAATAATTTTAAATCTAAATTTTATTTATTACATATAAAAGTTTAAGGGAGGGCTTCCCTGCTGGCGCAGTGGTTGAGAGTCTGCCTGCCGATGCAGGGGACACGGGTTCGTGCCCTGGTCCAGGAAGATCTCACATGCCGCGGAGCGGCTGGGCCCGTGAGCCATGGCCGCTGAGCCTGCACGTCCGGAGCCTGTGCTCTGCAATGGGAGAGACCACAACAGTGAGAGGCTCGCGTACCGCAAAAAAAAAAAAAAAAAGTTTAAGGGAGCCATGGATGTATGAAAAAGTTAATTAGGTAGTGCTAAGTTGATTAGATATAGTTTTATTTCTTCCCCTACTCTAGAGTTTATCAAGATTTTTGGGGAAGAGATTTATGTAATACATTATTGTCTGTTTTATTTAGAGTTAGTAACATTATAAATGTGTTCTTATAAAAAAATGGAAAAAGGATTCTCAATCTTTGATATATGGTGGATGTTGCAGACATTTGCTTGGGAAAATATCTGTAGATGTAAATACAATCAGCAGTATATTTAACCATATTGTTAATAACACAAGAATTTGTAATAATTTCTCAGCCACACACAATCAAAGTAGCATTTATACAATTCAAACACAATTTTCTATCTTGGAAGAGGTAAGTTACACTAGAATCATGTGATGCAAAAGTGAGATGGATCATAGAATAAAGAACTTTTTATTATTAACTATTTTTTAACTTTGGTGAAACACACATAACATTAGACCTGTCCTATTAACAAATTTCTAATTGCACAATACAGTACTGTTAACTATATACGCATTGCTTTACAGCAGATCTCTAGAACTTTTCCAGCTTGCATGACTGAAACTGAAACTCTATACCTATTGAACAGCATCTCCCTGTTCCTGTCCTCCCAACTCTGGCAACCACCATTTTACTTTCCACCTGTTTGAGTCTAACTACTTTAGAAAACTGCAGTATTTGTCCTTCTGTGTGTGACTGGCTTATTGCACTTAGAATAGTGTCCTCAGGGTTTATCCATGTTGTTAGCACATGACAGATTTCTTTCTGTTTTAAGGCTGAATAATATTCCATTGTATGTATATACCACATTTTCTTTATTCATTCATCCAGTGATGGACATTTAGTTTGTTTCTATCTCTCGGCTACTCTGAATAATGCTTCAATGAATATGTGAGTGTATGTATTTCTTCAAGATTCTGTTTTCAGTTCTTTTGCATCAATATCCAGAAGTAGAATTGCTGGATAATTTGGTAGTTCTATTTATAATAGCTGAGGAAACTCATACTGTTTTCCACAGTGACTGCACCATTTTAATTTCCGACCAACAGTTAAAGTGGTTCCAATTTCTCCACATCCTCACCAGCACTTGTTATTTCCTGTTTTTTGATAATGGCCATCTTAACAGGTGTGAGGTGATATCTCATTGTGGTTTTGATTTGCATTCCCCTAATGATTAGTGATGTTGAGCATTTTTTTCATGTATCTATTGGTCATTTGTATGTCTTCTTTGAACAGTCTATTCAAGTCCTTTGCCCATTTTAAAATTTGGTTATTTGGCGTCTGTTGTTCTTTGTTTGTTTTTTTGCTATTGAGTTGTAAGAGTGCCTTATATATTTTGGATAGTAGCCCCTTATGAGATGCATGATTTACATATGTTTTCTTCCATTCCGAAGATTGCTTTTCACTCTATTGATTGTTTCCTTCACTGCACAGAAGCTTTTTAGTTTGATGTAGTCCCCCTTGTCTATTTTTGCTTTTAAAGCCTGTACTTTTAGTGCCAATATCTGAGCAATCATTGCCAAGATCACAGTTATGGAACTTTTCACATATGTTTTTTCTTCTAGGAATTTTACAATTTTGGGTCTTCCTTTTAACTCTTTAATCCACTTTGAGTTGATTTTTGTGTATAACGAAAGAAAAGGGTCCAATTTCATTCTTTTGTATGTGTATATCTAATTTCCCCAACACCATTTATGCAAGAGGCTATCCTTTCCTCGTTGTATAGTCTTGGCACCCTTGCTGAAGATCCCATTTTACTGTTTAGGTGTGGGTTTATTTTTGGCTCTTTATTCTGTCCCATTGGTCTATAAGTCTCTCTTATGCCAGTACCATATTCTTAATTACTGTAGATTTGTAATATGTTTTGAAGTCAAGAAGTGTGAGGCTTCCAGCTTTGTTCTTTTTTCTCAAGGTTGTTTTGGCTATTTAGGGTTTGTGGTTCTATATGAATTTTAAGACACTTTTCTCCATTTCTGCAAAAAATGCCACTGGGAATTTGATAGGGAGTGCACTTAATCTGTAGATTGCTTTGGGTAGTAAGGATAACATTTTAACAATATTAAGTCTTCCAATCCATGAACACATTTGTCTCCTTAAATTTCTTTCAGCAATGTTTTGTAGTTTTCACCTTACATATCTTTTGACTTATTGGTTAAGCTTATTCCTAAATATTTTATTCTTTTTGGTGTTCTTATAAATGGGGTTGTTTTCTTAATTTCCTTTTCATATTGTTTGTTGTTAGTTTATGCAACTGATTTTGTGAGTTGATTTTGTATTCTGTAATTTTGTTGAGTATTTTTTATTACCTCTAACAGTATTTTTTTTTGTCTGTGGAATCTTTATAATTTTGTACATATAAGATCATGACATCTGCCTAGAGAGATAGAAGTTTAACTTCTGAATTATGTTTCATTTTAGAGTAATTTTGATTAGGAGAGTGATAATAATTTGCCTTTGTATATTTCTTTATGCCTTTTTTCTCTTAAATAAGACTGCATTTTGTAGCTCAAAGATATATTCTAACAACTAAGCGCACAGTCTTCCTACCTGTGTCAGAGGTATCTAAGGGTTAAAAAGAGAACTTTGGGCATCACAATACTTGACTCCTACAAAACAACTTTATGAAGTACATATTAATAAGATAGCCACTTTACAGAAGAGAAAACTGAATTTTAAGCTTTTGAGACTTGCTTGTATGACATAATTAACAAGGGGGTAATGCCATGACTCAACTTCTCTTTTCTCATCCACATAGCTTTCTGAGTAAATGGACAGACTATGTATTTAACTTAGTAGTACCATCTTTCCCTTGCTAATTTTCCTTTAGTCCTTTTAATATTAAAGTTTTTTTATATATCTTCGCATGAATCAACAAATGGCCAGGAAAATTGATGAAATTTTCTGAAATAGTGATCATGTAGCCTGGGACAGCCACACTTATTGAGGAAAATGCACAAATGATTATCACAACTTGACAATATTGTTTGTACTTCTTGAATTATAAGCAGGTGCTATATAATAGATTTACTTAATTTTTGAATTATAGTCTGTTTTTTTACATTTTAGAGAGTTTTTTTTTTTTTTTATCAGAACCATAGTGTTTGTTTACATTTATGAGTCAAATATATTTAATTTTTTAAATTCCACTTTAGGAAATCCAGTACCAGCATTCTATGTGGCTTAGTGGAGTTTTCAATTATTTCAAAATTTATTTCTAAACTACTGTAAATTGCAGCTTTTTTTTCTTTGAAACACACTCAATTCCCAAATGACTATTTAGCATCTAAACTGATCCTAGTTAGAAGCACATTGTTTGCATTAATAAATCTTAACAAATTTTCCTTTTTCTAAGGGTTCTTGTAATGTCACATTTACCAGTATCCTTACATGATTCTTGGAAAGGGCTGATTATATATTTTTTACCTTGAGCATTTTTGTTTCATTCTGAAGTTGCTTTTATCTGCCTATTCATCAGAATAAACACTGCTTGCTCTTACTTTAAATTTATTTTGTTGTGGAAACATAATATCTGTGTTTCTAAATAAACATATCTTATCAGACTGTTTCTACAGCTCTATTTTATGTTTTCAAAGCCATCATCTTTGTTTCTTCATTTAAATCAAGATATGCAGAACCATTTATAATTTATTGATTTGATGACACAAGAGTTCACTTGCTGGGAGCTATGGTTCCATAATATGGTAGTATATCAGTTTTTATTTCAGTCTCCTTCAGAGGGAAGGAGCTGTTCTTTCTAATTGTTGAGTGAAGGTTATAAACATGTTTATATAAATCTTTATATAAACTGGCTGCAGTATAGGAATTATTCTTGAATTAAGGATACTTAAAGCAGCCTAGGTTCATGTGGCTTATACCATGTCTTGCAAAAACAACAAGAAAATCTATTATAGAATACTTCTAACTACAAACCTTGGCTGAAACAGAGTTAATTGTGCTCTGTTCTTGCCTTTGTTGAAATGGCCTATAGATATCAATCACACAGATCTTGAGGCTGTGTAGCTGATTATTATTTGCTATTTCAGATGACTGGTAATCACTTCCAAGAAATTAGAAAGGCTTAGTAAGAGGAAAATATAATTGCTTTTCCAGTAATTTCTACTTATGACTGACAGAAAACAGAGAATAAATAAATGTCTACATCTTATTTGAAAATTTGTGTCTTCCATGATGTTTTTATCTTTCAATTTTTTTCCAGTTTATTTTGAAAAAAAATTTTCATTGTGCTTGACATTTTGGCACCTCTTATTGATTATTTATTCATTATTATTTAAGATTTCTTTTTTCAACCTTGATATGGTATTCATTATTGAAATTAACCTCACTCTATACCAAATATACTAATGGAATGTTTCGTATGGTCCCAGAGCCGCATCAACTAGGTACCCACTGGCCTGAAGCTAAATATGGGTGACATATAAGTTGGCTACTGGCTTCTTGAGAATGAATGAGAAAGGTTTCCATGAGGAAGAACTTTGTGGTTCTTCAGGTTATTTATCTCATTATCTTGTTATATGGTTAGCTATAGTAATCCGATTAAGTATACTGAAATTCTAGTAAGAAAGAATTAAGTAAGAAAGAGAAATTACTTAGAAAGGAAAATTGTTTTATAAAATACAAATATATATTCTTGTCTAACACCAAAAGACTGGAGATTTTATTTATGAGGCCAATGTATTTCATAAAAATTAGAGAAAAATCTTATCTTTTTCATCTTTTAAAAAGATCAAACATTTTTTTTTCTTTCAGCATGTGGAGAAACCCTACAAGAATCCAATGGCAACCTTTCCTCCCCAGGATTTCCAAATGGCTACCCATCTTATACACACTGCATCTGGAGAGTTTCTGTGACTGCAGGAGAGAAGGTAGTTTATACCATCAAGAGTTCTCCTTTAATCTCAGATGCAAAGGTTCATTTTCTTTCAAATATAATTCACTTTGTTTTTTATTCTTGTTTGATTAATAAAATAGCTCAGAAATTTTATAATGGAAATTACTCTAACTCCAGGAATTTTTTGAAAGATGTAATTTTAAAAGAAATGGTAAATGGTCTAAAAGTGTTGACATAATACAAATTATGTACTCAGACACACTGAAATTAAGTTAAAAGTCAGTATCATATGGATAACTAGAAAAATCCCACACATTTTAAAATTGAGAAATATACATCAAATATCCAATTCATTCAAGAAGATATTGTGATTAAAATTAGAAATTATTTTCAATTATAACAAAAATACTGAGAATACCAAACCTGTAAGATTCACCTAAAGCAGTACTTAGAAGGAAATTCACAGACCTAAATGCTGATATTAGGAAATAAGAAATACCCAAAACTAATGAGATTGACATCCACATAAAGAGACTAGAAAAAGAGCAATAAAATAAATGAAAAAGTACATAAAGGAGGAAGTAATAAATAAAAGATAAAGAAAATATCATGGTATTGTACAAAGTATGGACAAAGTTGGTACTTGAAACAATTTAGAAAAATAGAGAAATGGGTGAAAAGAGATCAAAAGAAAAAGGAATAACAGAGAAAGCACAATTAACTAATATTTAGAATAAAACGATTATTATAACCATAGATACTTTAGGAACCAAAAGAACATTTTGAACATTATGCCAATAACTTTAAAAATGTAAATGAAATGGGCAAATTACTACAAAATATTACTTACTAAGTTCTTATTTGAGAAGAAATAAAAAGCTTGAATGCTCCTATAACCACTAAAGAAATCAAATTACCATTTAATTGAATTATTAGTCAAAATTTTTTCAACAATGAAATCCAGGTTCAGATGGCTTCATCAGTGAGTTCTATCCAACAATCAAATAAGAATTAAGTGTAATCTAATATAAAGTCTTCCAGAGAATAAAATAAAAGATACACTCTCCTATTTATATGGCTAGCAAAACCTTGATAGCCATCCTGATGACAAGAACAGTGTAAGAAAGGAAAAATTTAACCCAGACTCACACTTGAATATGTATGTAAAATCCTCCCCACATTACCAAACCAAATGCAAATATATATGCCTCTGTATGTATGTATGTATCTATCTATCAATCTGTAAATATATAAATAATATATACATATTTCAAGGGCAGATATATGCATGGATATGTGTATATATGTATGATATATTATATATATATGTTTGTGTGTATATGTATGTGTACATATATACAAGCACCATTAGACGAGTATCTCAGTTAAATCAAGAAAAAAAATCTATTAATGATTTAACAACAACAAAGCCTGAGCAAACTAGGAATAGAAGAGTATTAATCTTATAAAGAGAAGCAACAAAAATTAGTGCAAATACCATTATCATTAGGGTAATTCTGAAAGTATTTCCTTTGAGATAGGTAAAAAACCAAGTATGTCCACCAGTCCTCTTCTTTTTTTAACATTTTGGTGGAAATAGTAGCATGTTAAGGCAAGAAAACGAAATTACACATGTAAGGATTAAAAAGGAAGACATAAAATTCCTTTTATCATATTGTTTGTTTGGTTATAGAATTTAAAATTATTAAGAAGTGAAATGTATAAATCTATTAATTTCTGGATTCTGTCTGGAATGCTAACCTTAAAAGTCTTCCCAGACCAAGATTGTAATAATATCAATTTTTGTTTTTTACTAGTTATTAAATGATTTTTATCCTTCGTCTTTGACTAATTCATATGGAATGACTCATACACACTTTGAGTTTTGGTGGAAAAACAAATGCAGTTAAGAAAGTTTCAACTCCCTGATAATTGAGTGTTGTTACAAGTATCATGGGTATGGAGTTGTCCAGGATGTTGCAATACTCACAATGAAAACTAAATGAAACTCTTTTGTAGCATAAACAGATTTTATACATAAAAAGTTACAACTGACTTGTAATACATGAATGCATACATAATTCTTTATATAGTTGTTTTTAAGCATTGTGAGTCTGCGTTGTAATATAGTTATAGGTGTTGATCAATTTCTGTTTAGATCCTTTGAATAAGCCCCTGAAAACATATTATGAAAATCATTATAAAGGTACTGAAGAGCAAGATATAAAAGATGATAAAGCTTCAGAGAAAGTTTAAAACTGTACATGATATTTTTTTTCAGTTTTTCTTAGTTTTTTTTAAACATTTTTATTGGAGTCTAGTTGATTTACAGTGTTGTGTTAGTTTCAGGTGTATAGCAAAGTGAATCAGTTTTACATATACATATATCCACTCTTTTTTAGATTCTTTTCCCATATAGGCCATTACAGAGTATTGAGTAGAGTTCCCTGTGCTATAGAGTAGGCCGTTATTAGTTATCTATTTTATATATAGTAATGTGTGTATGTCAATCCCAATCTCCCACTTTATCCCTTCCCCCACCTTACCCCCTGGTAACCATAAGTTTGTTTTCTACATCTGTAACTCTGTTTATGTTTTGTAGGTAAGTTCATTTGTACCATTTTTTAAGATTCTACATATGTTATATCATATGACATTTGTCTTTCTCTGACTTATTTCACTCAATATGACAATCTCTAGATCCATCCATGTTGCTGCGATATACATGAGTTTTTAAATAAAGCATTGTAGAATATGGAAAGTTTTGGCATAAGATTAATCAAATTAAATCAGTTTGTAAGAGCAAAATAATACCTGGAAAAAAAGTTTCTCCTATCTAATTGCAGTACCCGTACCATCAGCATTCAAAGTTTACTCAGTTTTCTTGTATGTAGGATTACTAATAAAATGGTATTTTCCAAAATGTTGCAAATAGGAAGAAATAAACAAATCTATCATTTTTTCTCCTATATTTTTAATATTGTGCACAATGATGAGCAAATAAATTTATTGTTATAAGTGGCCAATGAACAATATTAACTGTTTTTTATTCTTATATTTTTATTATTTTCTTTCAATATTTAAGTTCATTCTGCTCTTCTTTTTTATTTTATTGAAGTATTGTTGATTTACAGTTTTATATCAGTTTCAGGTGTACAGCATAGTGATTCAGTATTTTTATAGATTATACTCCGTTAAAATTATTACAAGATAATGGCTATAGTTGTCTGTGCTGTACAATATATCCTTTTTGCTTACTTATTTTATACATAGTAGTTTTTATCTTTTATTCCCATGCCCCTGATTTGTCCCTCCTCCTTTCCCTCTCCCTTCTGGTAACTACAAGTTTTTTTTTCTATATCTGTGAGTCTGTTTCTGTTTTGTATATACATTCATTTGTATTATATTTTAGAATCCACGTATAAGTGATTTCATACAGTATCTGTCTTTCTCCATCTGACTTTGTTTCACTAAGCGTAATATTGTCTGGATCCATCCGTGTTGCTGCAAATGGCAGAATTTCATTCTTTTTATGGCTAATACTGCTATGTACATAGGAAAATATATATATATATATATATATATATATATCGCACATCTTCTATATCCATTCATCTGTAGATTGACACTTGGGTGCTTCCATATCTTGGCTATTGTAAATAGAGCTGCTGTGAACGTTGGGGTGCATGTATCCTTTTGAATTAGTGCTTTCATTTTTTCCAGATATATACCCAGGGATCAAATTGCTGGATCATATGATAGTTCAATTTTTAGTTTTTTGAGGAACCTCCATACTGTTTTCCAGAGTGGCTGCACCAATTTACTTTCCCACCAATAGTGTAGGAGGGTTCTCTTTTCTCCACATCCTCTCCAACATTTGCTATTTGTAGACGTTTTGATTATAGTCATTCTGACAGGTGTGAGGTGATATCCCCTTGTGGGTTTGATTTTCATTTCTCTAATAATTAGCCATATTGAGCATCTCTTCATGTGCCTGTTGGCCATCTGTATGTCTCTTTTGGTAAAATGTCTGTCAGAAGCTTCTTTCCGGTTTTTGATTGGATTGCCTTTTTTTATATTGAGTTGTATGAGCTGTTTATGTATTTTGGATATTAACCCCTTGTCGATCATATCATTTGCAAACACTTTCTTTCATTCAGCTAGTTGTCTTTTTGTTTTGTTGATGGTTTCCTTTCCTGTGCAAAAGCTTTTAAGTTTAATTAGGTCCCATTTGTTTACTTTTGCTCTTATTTCTTTTGCCTTAGGAGACAGATCAAACAAATATTGTTACTATTTATGTCAAAGAGTGCTCTGCCTATGTTCTCTTCTAGGATTTTTATGGTTTCAGGTCTTTCATTTAGGTCTTTAATACATTTTGAGTTTATTTTTGTATAAGGTATGAGGAAATGTTCTAATTTCATTCTTGTAAATGTAGCTGTCCCATTTTCTTAGCACCATTTATTGAAAATGCTGTCTTTTCTCCATTGTATATTCTTGCTTCCTTTGTCTCAGATTAACTGACTATAAGTGTGTGGGTTTATTTCCAAGCCATCCATTCTGTTCCATTGTTCTATATATCTGTTATTGTGCCAATACCATACTATAGTTTTGTGTCTAGCCTGAAGTCTGGAAGTGTGATATATTCAATTTTGTTGTTTTTTCTCATGATTGCTTTGGCACTTTGGTGTCTTCTGTGGTTCTATATGATCTTAGGATTATTTGTTCTAGTTCTCTGAAAAATGCCATGGATATTTGATAGAGATTGCATTAAATCTAGAGGTTTAATGGGTCTTTTTTACTTATTTGGTCGAGTTTAACTCACTAATTTCAACCATCTTTTCTTTTATCATACAAACATTTAAAGCTATAAATATTCCTTTAAAAACTACTTTATCGGAATTTCACCAGCTTGACACATAGTATTTTTGTTATTTTTCAGTTTTAATTATCTTCTTCATCTTTTATCATTTCTTCTGCCCACATATTTTTCAGGAACATATTTTTTTTTATTTGCAAACATATGTTATTTTTCCA